TGCCGTTATATGAGGGCTATACGAAGACGTGGACCTGCACAGACAATTTTCTGTCTTAGGCTGTAGTGTCCATTACGAACTTCAAATACCAAATTTGAAACAATTCCGGTGAATAATGTTGCTAAAATCATCAAATTACCGAATAACAAAAGACATAACATACATTTGAGTGAAATTTTATCAACCTACCCCATTTTGTTCGGAAGCTAGAGGGATTTCCACATAGTGTGGGGTCTAAAATGTACATTTCGAGGTGTTACAAGCGGAATGACAAAATCTCAGGAGCTATGATGTTAGATTTTTTTTTTTATTATGTCCATATCTGAAATTCACAATTTAATGTTCCCTTCTTAATTTCGTATATCGGAAGGTCATCGACCTCTTGATAACAAATAATACAAATTGAATTAATCAAATAACCTTTCCTTCCCTTTTTTAGATCTATTAAGAAAATGGAAAACCTCAAATTAACTACAATTTCCAAATATGCTCGCAACTCACGAATATTCATTAAACATTTTTAATAATTTATGATTTGATGACGACAAGCCTTGAACAAAAAATTTTCGAAAATACTTCCTTCTAAATAGACAAAAACATACACATGTAACAAGTCTGCTCTTATCTAAATCCTTAAACTTTAATTTCACGGTACGAGGCGCACTTGGGTAGTTTGAAATTGGGATTGGAAGATTTGAGACGTTTTCTTTTAAAATTGATTGGTCACCTCACATAATAGCCAGTTGGTCATGGATATCCTCAGGGACTCAGCAAACAAGTCGTGATGGTCTTCATGGACTTATTATAAATGACCTACTATTCCATCCATCCATATTCATTGAATACCATTTGAAATTCATAGTAGCGACGCACCCAGAAATGCATTTTTGAAACCTTTTTTCGGATTCCCTTCTAGCAAAAATGTACGAAGATATCAGAAAAATAAACAGTTTGGAACTGAGATAATTCCAACCTGACACCTAATAGTCATTCCGTTAAACACCATTTGGCCTTCGCATAGTAATCGGAATGGTCTTATCGTAAAGTCCTTAAACAAAACCTTCTCCAATGACCCTCGCTCTGTTGGCTTTTTTTTCTTTTATTCCTAAACAAATATTTCCAAATTAATGACATTCTATTTCTTCGCATTTCATTGGTGGTGGTGTTATTATTAAATTCCTTCCAAGCCCTTCCGCGACATGGCCTTTAATTAGAAATGAATTTCCCTGTTCATTTTTAGTTTTCAATATATGTGGTTTAATATTCAGATATGCATGTGTATATGTATGTGCGTCCATGGAATAGTTAAAGACTATTAGCAGTTAAATGTCATTAGCGTGACTGAAAGTCATCTCTGCAGCGAAATGTCCACTGATTTATTATTACTTGAGAAATAATGTTCGAATGTCTGTTACGTTTAGCACTTTTGCTGTCAGGACGACAATATTTCTGCCTCGAGGTGTGTGGGCTTTTGAATGTGGCGGGTGGATTTTTATGACGAAAGTAGGAAAATGTTTTCTTTTTTTTTTTGCCTATCACACATGTGACTGTGTGTCGTGCCTAGATATTCCATTTTATTGTCCAAATACTGTGTAATTATTTTGTCAAACAGTTGTAAATGGTCATAAAGGCCAATGAATACTAACCCCAATGGTGCATGGAACTAGTTTGGGACTAGCGTGACCTTTCAAATTTCACTTTGGATTACCCCACGGAAGAAATTTGTGTTTACAATACTAGCCTCTAGAATATCGGTAACAACTTGGATGTTTAAAACGAAAATACCTTTTTGGTTTGATTTTTGAATTCGTATCAAAATACCCACTTGGAGTCAATTTTAAGAGCAAGATGTCAAGGGAAAAGTTATTCTACATCAAATTTCACTATGGGTCACCCTGCACAAGAAATCTGTATATAAAGTCTTTACCACTATGACAGCACTAACAGCTTGGTCGTTTAAAGAAAAATACGTTTTTGGATAGACTTTCGCAGTCCTGCCCAAATTCGAACTTGGAACCCATTTTAGGAGAATGGTGTCAAAGGAAATGTTGAGCTACATCAAATTTCACTGTGGGTTACCCCACGAAAGAAATCTATATTTTTAATACTGGCTATTTTTAATACTATAATATCGGTAACAACTTGAATGTTTAAAAGGAAAATTAATTTTTTGTTTAATTTTTGAGTTCATGTCAAAATACCCACTTGTCCATTTTAGGAGCAGGATGTTAAGGAAAAAGTTGTTCTACATCAAATTCCACTATGGGTCATCCCGCATAAGAAATCTGTAAATAGAGTATTTACCACTATGACGACGTAAATAACTTTTACTAAAAAAAATACATTCTTGGATAGACTTACGCATTCCTGTCCAAATTTGAACTTGGAACATGTTTTAGGGTCATAGTGTCAAAGAAAAAATTGATCTTTATCAAATTTCACTATGGGTTACCCCACGGAAGAAATCTGTGTTTACAATACTGGCCTCTATAACATCGGTAACAACTTGGATTTTCAAAAGAAAAATTAATTTTTTGTTTTATGTTTGAGTTTCTGTCAAAATAACCACTTGGTGTGCATTTTAGAAGCAGGAAGTCAAGGGAAAAGTTATTCTACATCAAATTTCACTATGGATCATTCTGCACAAGAAATCTGAATATAAAGTCTTTACCACTATGATAACGCTAACAACTTAAACATTTAAAGAAAAATGCGTTTTTGGACAGACTTTCGTATTCGTGCCCAAAAATGGACCTGGAACCCGTTTTAGGAAAATGGTGCCAAAGGATATGTTGATCTTTATCAAATTTCACTATGGGTTACCCCACGGAAAAAATCTGTGTTTTTAATACTGACCCCTATAATATCGTTAACAATTTGGATGTTTAAAACCAAAATTAATTTTTTGTTTGATTTTCCAGTTCATGTCAAAATACCCACTTGGAGTTCATTTTAGGAGCAAGATGTCAAGTGAAAAGTTATTCAGCATCAAATTTCACCATGGGTCATCCCGCATAAGAAATCTGTAAATAGAGTATTACAACTATGATAACGGTAACAAATAAAACAATTAAAGAAAGACGTTTTTGGATAGACTTTCGCTATTTACGCCCGAATTTGAACTTGGAACCCATTTTAGAAGAATGGTGCCAAAGGAAAAGTTGGTCTTTATCAAATTTCACTATGGGTTACCTTACGGAAAAAATCTGTATTTTTAATACTGACTCCTATGATATCGATAACAACTTCTGTGAATAGAGGAAAATTTACTTATTTCTTTAATTTTTTAGCTCATACCAAATACCCACTCGGAGTCCCTCTTTGGAGCAAGGTATCAATGGAAAAGTTATTCCACATCAATTTTCACTATAGGTTACCCTTCAATAGAAATCTGTAAATAGAGTATTTACCACTATAATAACGCTAACAACTTAGATGTTTAAAGAAAATACAATTTTTGATAGAATTTCGCATCTATGTCCAATTTTGAATTTGGAACCCGTTTTAGGAGAATGGTGTCAAAGAAAAAGTTGAGCTACATCAAATTTCATTATGGGTTACCTCACGGAAGAAGATTGTATTTTTAATACTGGCCACTATAATATCAGTAAAAACTTGGATGTTTAAAAGAAAGAATATATATATTTTTTATTTTCAAGTTTATGTCAAAATATCCACTTGGAGTGCATTTTAGGAGCAAGTTGTCAATGGAAAAGTTATTCCACATCAAATTTCACTATAGGTCACCCTTCAATAGAAATCTGTAAGTAGAGTATTTACTACTATAATAACGATAAAAACTTGGATGTTTAAAGAAAATGGCTTGTTTGAAAGACTTTCGCATTCGTGTTTAAATGCAAAGTTGTAACATGTTTTAAGGGGCATGGGGTCAAAGTAAAAGTTGTCTGGATCAAATTTCACTATGGGTCATCCTGCACAAGAAATCTGCATATAAAGTATTTAATAATATGACAACGCTAACAACATGTACATTTAAAGAAAAATGCGTTTTTCGATAGACTTTCGCATTCGAGTCCAAGTTCGAACTTGCAACCCCTTTTTGGGTCATGGTGTCAAAGTAAAAGTTCTTCTACGTCAAATTTCACTATGGGTTACCTCACACAGGAATTCTTGATATATAATACATACCCGTATAATTACGCGTTCAATATGGAAGTATAAAAGAAACTACATTTTTTGTATGGTTTTTATGTTCATGTCAATATAACCACTTGGGATCCCTTCTAGCAGCATAGTATCAAAGAAAAAGTTGTTCCATATTAAATTTCAAAATAGGTTGACCTTTGGAAGAAATCTGTAAATATATTTTATACCACTACTATATCAGTAACACCTACCAACTCGACGGTTTTTCCTTTGGTTTTGCATTTGCTTCCAAATTTGATCTTGGAACCCCTCTGGGAAGCATGGCGGTAAAGAAAAAGTTAATCTACATAAAATTTCGCCTCATTTTAACCAGAAAAATTACTAAGTTAGATAGGATATGTATCACAATTTGAGTACATTTAAAAAAAGGTTGGGTTTTCAGGTCAGATGCTCAGGGTCATGTCCAATAGTCCCTTTGGAATTTATTTTACAATGATGGTGTTAAAGGAAAAATAACTCAACACAAAATTTCCCTGGGGGTGGCCTAACAAAACCAAAACGCTAACTATGAGGCATCACAACAATATCGGCAAAAATAAATTTTAATAAATTTTTTCCCAATATATTTTTAGCTTTAGCCTGACCTACATACAGCCACATCCCTGCATACATCTACACATTTAACATTGTAAAAGTTCTTGGCAAACTTCTGCTCTTTTTTGAAGGCTAAAAAACCTCCCATTATAAATTATTTCAGTATCCTTCTACGAAATGAAAATCAATATTACCACTTTGTCTGACCATTGTCTAAGCACCAACCGACATCACTTTCTACGAACACACCCATATTTATTAAACATTTTTCGTTTTTGTTTGTTTACTTTCTTTTCTAGAAGCGATGTTACTATGGCCAACAACTACAACACATCGAACGGAAGCGGAAACGCCAATTCAAATCATGAACGACGACAACAACAGCAACCCATGTTCTTTTGGTGGGGCCAACGGCTGTGGCAAGAGTTACGCGGACGCATACACATGCGTACACCGCCAGCAACAACACCCGATGACGACATGAGAACCCCATCAGATGGCGGAGGCGGCGGCGGTGGTGTCGGCACCGGCCTCGGTTCACCTCTAGACGATTCCGAGAAGCGTATCATTTTCATTAATCGTCCACAAATACAGAAATTCTGCAACAACCATATATCCACTGCTAAATATAGTTTCATAAGTTTCCTACCATCGTTCCTGTTCGAACAGTTTCGTCGTTATTCAAATTGTTTTTTCCTACTGATTGCCCTGCTGCAACAGATTCCAGATGTTTCGCCCACCGGGCGTTATACCACATTGGTACCGTTGATATTCATATTGGCCGTGAGTGGTATTAAGGAAATTGTGGAGGACATTAAGAGGCATCGAGCCGACAATGAAATCAATCACCGGACGGTGGAGAAACTAAAAGATGGCGCCTGGATGACAGTGCGTTGGGAACAGCTGGCTGTGGGCGATATTGTTAAGATACCAAATAATACCTTCTTTCCGGCTGATTTGATTCTGCTGTCGTCGAGTGAACCGCAGGCAATGTGTTTCATTGAAACCTCCAACCTGGATGGAGAGACAAATCTGAAGATACGTCAAGGTGTGCCGGCCACTGCAAGGTTGTTGGAGACCCGAGATCTGGTCGAACTGGCTGGGGTAGTGGAATGTGAATTGCCCAATCGGCTGTTGTACGAATTTAATGGTGTGCTCAAGGAGCATGACAAACAATCTGTATCCCTGGGTCCTGATCAAATTTTACAGCGTGGTGCTGTATTGCGTAATACCTCATGGATATTCGGCATGGTAGTGTACACCGGCCATGATACAAAATTGATGAAAAATTCCACATCGGCCCCTCTGAAGCGATCCACTGTGGATCGCCTTACCAATACTCAGATATTAATGTTATTCATGATATTATTGGTCCTGTGTCTGACCAGTGGCGTGTTCAATTTCATTTGGACGCGCAAGTACTTTGTGGCCGATTGGTATTTGGGCCTGGACGATTTCAAGAGTAAAAACTTTGGCTACAATCTGCTGACCTTCTTTATTCTCTTCAACAATTTGATACCCATATCACTGCAAGTTACCTTGGAACTGGTACGATTTTTGCAGGCCCAATTCATAAACTGTGACATACAAATGTACCACGTCGAGTCGAATACCCCAGCCATGGCAAGGACCTCAAATCTAAACGAAGAACTGGGTATGGTGAAGTATATATTTTCGGATAAAACTGGAACGCTGACACGCAATGAAATGGTCTTTAAGAAATGTTCCATTGTCAATGAGATCTATCCCACGGAGAATACACCCGAACAAAGTTTGGTGGTGCAAAATCTGCTGAGTAAACATCAGGATTCGGAAACGATAAGGGAATTTTTGGTTTTACTTTCGGTGTGCCACACCGTTATACCGGAAAAGAATCCAGATGGTTCCATAACCTATCATGCAGCCAGTCCGGATGAAAGGGCCCTGGTGGATGGAGCCAAACAGTATGGCTTTGTGTTTGACACACGCACTCCACACTACGTGGAAATCAATGCCTTGGGCATGCGCGAACGTTATGAAATCTTAAATGTCTTGGAGTTCACCTCGACACGGAAGAGGATGTCGGTTATTTGTCGCACCCCAGAGGGCCACATCAAACTCTATTGCAAGGGAGCCGATTCAGTGATCTATGAACGTTTGGCCCATGACGGCCGGTCATTTAGTGATGTCACCCTTCAACATTTGGAAGAGTTTGCCGCCGAAGGTTTACGCACCCTGTGCTGTGCTGTGTCCACAATACCCCAGGATGTCTACGATGATTGGCAGACCACCTATCACAAGGCCTCAACCACCCTGACTGAGCGAGAACGTAAAATGGAAGAGGCTGCCAATTTGATTGAGAACAATCTCCACCTGCTGGGCGCCACTGCCATTGAGGACAAACTACAAGATGGTGTACCTGAAACAATAGCTTCCCTAATAGAGGCGGGCATTAACATTTGGGTGTTGACGGGTGATAAACAGGAAACAGCCATAAACATCGGCCACTCCTGTCGCCTGATATCGCCCTCCATGGACATTGTAATACTTAACGAAGAAAGTCTGGATGCCACCCGGGAGGTAATACATCGTCATTCCAGTGAGTTGCAAACTTCAATAAACAAGAACTGTAATGTAGCTTTGATCATAGATGGTAAGACGCTTAAGTATGCTTTGAGTTGTGATCTGCGGCGGGAGTTTCAAGAGTTGTGCACCAGCTGCCGCGTGGTGGTCTGTTGTCGCGTCTCGCCCATACAAAAGGCCGAGGTGGTCGAGCTGATAACAACCACCACCAAAGCTGTGACTTTGGCCATTGGCGATGGCGCCAACGATGTGGCCATGATACAAAAGGCCAATGTGGGCGTGGGTATCTCCGGGGTGGAGGGTCTGCAGGCGGCCTGTGCCTCCGACTATTCAATAGCCCAATTCCGTTATTTAAAGCGTCTCCTGCTGGTACATGGTGCATGGAACTACAGGCGTATAACCAAACTGATTTTGTATTCATTCTATAAAAATGTCTGCCTTTATGTCATAGAGCTGTGGTTCGCCATCTATTCGGGGTGGTCGGGTCAGATTCTCTTCGAACGCTGGACCATTGGTCTGTACAATGTGGTGTTTACCGCCCTGCCACCCTTTGCCATTGGGATCTTTGAAAAGGTCTGCTCGGCAGAGACAATGCTAAAATATCCGCTGCTCTATAAACCATCACAGAATGCCAAACTCTTCAATGTCCAGGTGTTTTGGGTTTGGATCATCAATGCTCTGCTGCATTCGATCATACTCTTTTGGTTGCCACTCGGTGCGTTGGGCACCGAAACAATATGGGCCAATGGCAAAACCTCCGATTACCTATTGCTGGGCAATCATGTCTACACCTATGTTGTGGTCACTGTCTGCTTGAAAGCTGGTCTTTCAACCAATTCCTGGACCTGGCTCACTCATGCCTCCATATGGGGCTCCATTGGGCTGTGGTTCATTTTCATTTGCATCTATTCGAATTTCTGGCCCCTGCTGCCGGTGGCAGCCAATTTCCTTGGCATGGAACGTATGATCTTCACGACACCGATCTTCTGGTTTGGTTTACTGCTTGTACCCATTACCACACTACTGGTCGATGTACTCTTCAAGCTTGTACAAAACACCGTATTCAAATCATTGACTGAAGCTGTACGAGAATCGGAAATACGTAAGCATGATCCCGACGATGTGATGAATGAATCGAGATCATCGTTTACGGAAACGGCCAGGCTATTGCGTAGCGTGTTTATACGACGTGCCAATACCCGGGTCGATACCGATGTTGAGCTGTCGCATGGCTATGCATTCTCTCAGGAAGAGGGCGGGGCCGTATCACAATCGGTCATAATACGTTCGTACGATACAAATCTACAAAAACCCAGTGGCAACTAGAATCGTAAGCAGTATTGGGCAAGACAAAGATTTTAATATAATAAACAACAACAAAATTACAACAATAACCACCAAAATGAAAAGAAACAACAAAATTCGAAAAAAAAAAAAAAAACAAACAAATTGTGAACCCTGAAATTTCAAAACAAAAAAAAATTAAACAAAAGTTGTAGATTTTTTACTGAAAATAATGAATTTGTTTTTGTAGAATTTTCAGCGCATTTTTTTGTTTACAAATGTAGATAAATATGAATATTGTTTCGGTAGTCCAACTTAAGACTTCACGAAAGAAAAACTGATGGGATTTTGGAATCCAAGTAGATGTATAAAGAAAATTTTCAAATTTTCTCCATCGCTCTCTTCCTAAAACTCCGTTTTCTTAAAATTTCCAATCCAGACATTAATGGGAAAAATGAGTTTTGGGAAGGGGGTCTTGAGTGACGTAATACAAAGAAAGGAATATGAGATAAATACCAATTTTAATTAAACCCACTCCCTTAGTTTTCCTTTCATGAAAATGTCTTTGTGTGAATATTGAATTACAAATAGCTAAATACTTTAAAACCAGCCTAGTCCAGTCTTAAAATTGGTTTATAGTACGAGTATTATAACAAATTGTAAACACCATTGGCCCTTCTTTAAGCTTTGTGAAAAGGTGAGGTTATGTTAATTTCAATTGCTATTTTTTATGATCTCTACAATTCTCAAAGATAGTTCGAAAGTAAAATTAGTTGAAAAAAAAAACATTTCCCATCAAATTGTTATCTTGTATGTTTATTTAAAAAAATTGAGGTTATAAAATTTTTGAAAAAACATTTTTTTTTTGATATTTACAAATTGCTTCTATTGAAAATTAAGAAATGTTTCAAAGTAAAGTACAATAATAAAGCAAGCATAAATGTTCCGATGTAAAGGATAATAACCTGAAGTAAATGCCATTGATCCTTTTTTTTGAGGTTATATTGATTTGTAAAAAAGTGAGGTTATGTTGATTTCAATTGATATTTTATATGATCTCTACAATTCTCAAAGATGGTTCGAAGGTAAAATCTGTTGGAAAAATACATTTCCCATCTAATTTTTATCTTGTATGTTTAAATTAAAAGAATTGAGGTTATGAAAATTTTGAAAATATATTTTTTAACAGAATTGAGGTTATGAAATTTTTGAATTTTTTTTTTTTTTCATATTTACAAATTCCTTCTATTGAACATGAAGAAATGTTCCTAAGTGAAGTATTATAACTGGAAGAAACCGCATTTTCAAGGTATTTCGCTTAGTTTCTGCTAAAAAAGAGAGGTTATGAAATTTTAAGATTTTTTTTTTTTTTTGATATTTATATTTTTTTTCTAATGAATTTGAATAGATTTTCCAAGGTTATAAAAATTAAATGGAAAAAAACCATTTCTAAGAATTTTTTTTTTTATTTTCATTTGAAAAAGTGAGGTTATGAAATTTTGAACTAAGTTTTTGTTGTTATTAGCAATTATCTTCCATTAAACATGTAAAATTCCAAAAACCCCTTTTTTAGGGAATTTTTGACTTGGGTTTCATAATATTATATATTCTCTTGGGTTTCCCTTAAAAAGTGAGGTTATGAAAAATTATTTTTTTTTTATTTTTATTTTCATTTAAAAAAGCAAGCTTATGAAATTTTTGTTGTTATTAACAATTATCTTCCAATGAATATGAAAAATTCGATTAACCCCATTTCTAGGGAATTTTTGACTTGGGTTTCATAATATTATATATTCCCTTGTGGTTTCCTTAAAAAGTGAAGTTGTGAAATTTTAAGATTGTTTTTTTGACATTTTCATTTTCTTCTAATGAACTTGAAATGATTTTCCAAATAATTAAAAATTAAATAAAAACACCATTTCTAAGATTTTTTTTATTTTCATTTAAAAAAGTGAGGTTATGTAATTTTCAATTAAATTTTTGTTGTTATTAACAATTATCTTCCATTAAACATGTAAAATTCGATAAACCCCATGTCTAGGGAATTTTTGACTTGGGTTTCATAATATTATATATTCCCCTTGGTTTCCCTTAAAAAGTGAGGTTATGAAATTTTAAGATTTTTTTGATATTTATAATTTTTTAGATTTTCCAGGGTTAAAAAATTAAATAAGGAAAATCGTATTTCTAAGGATTTTTTTTATTTTTAGTTTCATTTATGTAATTTGTAATTTTGAACTAAATTTTTGTTGTTATTAACAATTATCTTCCATTGAACATGAAAAAATTCCATTTCTAAGGAATTTTTGACTTGGGTTTCATATTATCATATATTCCATTGGGTTTCCCTTAAAAAGGGTTATGAAAATATTTTATTTATTTATTTTTTTTTATTTTAATTTTCATTTAAAAATGTGAGATAATGAATTTTTGAATTTAGTTGTTCTTGATATTAACAATTTTCTTCTATTGAACATGAAAACATCGATAAACCCCATTTCTGGCTTGGGTTTCATACAAATAAGTGAGGTTATGAAATTTTGCAGTTCGTTTTTGTTAATACTATATTTATTGAACATGTAGAAATGTCCCATAGATAAAATGATAATTAAGAAAAAGGCATTTCTAAGAAGTTTTTTGACATATATTTTCATTAAAAAAGTGAGGTTATGAAACTTTAAAAGTTTTTTTTTTTTGTTACTTACAAATTTTTTCTATTGTACATGAAGAAATCTTCCAAAATTAAAATAATAACTGAGAAAAGCCTCCATTTCTAAGGAATTTTTTTGACTTAGGTTCCATATAAAAAAGTGGGGTTATGAAATTTAAAATTTTTTTCTGTTTTGATATTTTAAATTTTTTTCTAGATAACATGAATTGATGAAGTCGAAAGTTTAATTGATTGTTTAAACTTAGTTCCAAAAAAATCCCTTGTATGTCAATTTAAAAAAGTGAGGTTAGGACATTTTGAGACTGTTCCTTATTGGTATTTAAAATATTGGTTCCATTGAACGTTAAGTAATGTTCCAACGTAATTTATTAAATTGTTGATGCAAAAAATAAATTTCCAAAGATTTTTTTCCCTAGGATTCGTATTGAAAAAAGTTAGTTTTTGAATTTCAATTTCATATTCTTAACAAAAATTATTATTTTTTGTCTTTTGCTGTTTTTATTTGATTTTAAATATTTGGATGATAAATTGATTTTCTTTAAATAAAATATTAGCTTTTTTGTAAGCAAAAAGTCAGTTTTCTTCAAACTTGGCTAAGCTGGTTTCTTACTTTGTAAACGCTGTAATAAAACATATATAAATAAATAACATTGTTTTGAAATCAAAGCGGAAAAACTGCCGCAACATCAACTTGAAGAAGCCTTGGAAGGTTTTTTATTTGTGGTCTGTTCCAGAACTGCAAGAATGTAAAAGTTTTTACTGCGATAACCGATTTTCCCTTTATGATATCGGAGAAAATTTCAAATCTAGGAGATTATAGAAGGTTCTGGAACAGACCATAGACGCACCGAAAAGTTTCATGAAAAAAATTTTGGTTACAAAAAACCCAACGTTATCGAAAAAAATGTTTTTGTTAGCGACAGCTTGTTCAAATGTAAAAATGAAAAAATTATCCAAAAACCCCTAGGGAATATCTAAAACCATATTCGAATAAAAATATCACATATTTATAGAGAATACATTTTATTTTTCATAGAAAAAAATATAAAACAACTAAACAAATATTGGCAATCAAAGTAAAACAAATGATATTATTTTCATATGTATTGAGAAAGAGTATACGTAACAATATATACAGGGTCAAAATGATAAAATAAAAAAACAGTTTTCGTTTCGAAATTGGAAAAGTTCACTTACCTTTATGATAGACAAAAATTGGGATTTTGGCCAAGAAGATGGGAATTAAATGAAAAGTTTTGTTCTCTGATCCTTTCTACTCCAAAAACTCAATTTTTTTCATAAAAAATATCAATGGTTGAATATCGATTAGTTTCTTTAAATCTAAAAAAAAAAAATGAAACATTAATCTCTATTCTAAATTTTCACTGGTGGGGAATATTTTATAAAGGCCACCTGATAACTTTATGAAAGAGAAAACGGGATTTTGGCCCAGAAGAACGGTGGTAAATGAAAAAATTCTAATTTGTTTGCTGCCACTTTCTACTCCAAAAACTCAATTTTTTTCATAAAAAATTTCCATGAATGAATTTCGATTTGTTACCCCAAATTTAAACAAGAATAGGACGTTCAGCTCAATTCTAAATCATAACAATTCGGGAATATTTTATTAAGTCCACCTGTAACAAATGATCCAGAAGAAATACAAACAATTTGAGATTTTTAAATTAAAATTATAGCCTAGTTATTTGATTTCATTTAAAATAATGTCAAATCATTTAGCATAATGGGCTGTATACTACAGCATTTTGACTAAATGTTATGGCATCATTTTAAATGCCGATGTCAAGTCATTTACATTTATTCTCTTTGATTGTTTACATCAGGAGTATTCCCCCATTTGCTTAACGTTACTTTATTACTCTTTAATACAGAGAGTAATGTTTTTCTCCTTATTTATTGAGAATAGAGCCTGACTATTAACAGTAAACATTTTGATTAGTTGCTCCCAACTTTCTCCGAAGGGGGCTCTCCCATCCGAGAGAAACCCCTTCACTTCCATATTTGCATTTAAAAACTTTCCAAAATACAAGTGAAATCTATTATTAAATAAAAAATATTTTGTATTATTTACATATATTTATTTTAGTCAAAACAAATAACTGCAATGATTTGTAAAACGATCCAAATGCACCCACACCCCTCCCCTCCCTTCCAACTCTCTCGTTTGTTGTCTTAAATGTAATTATAAATTGTTATTTCTTTCTACTTTTTGTACATATAATTGTATGTTAGTTATAATATTTCTCATTATTTATTTGTTATTTTACTTTTTTATTATAATAGATAATAATAGTAAAAATTGCAAAAGAAAAAGAAACCTATTTTTTAAACATTATTGTACTTACTATTTTTTTAAGATCTATTAAAATCCGTGTATTTCACTTTTTAGATAAGCATAATTTTTTGATATAATAAGTAATGTATAACATATATTTGTCATATGTAGTTTTTCTCCTTAATTGAATTAAGATATGTGTTTAATTAAATATAAATAATAATAATAATAAACAAAGCACAAATTTCGAAATTGCACTTATGTCAAATATTAAAAACGCTAAAAGAA